GGGCGCGCGGCGGCGGCGTCACCCGCCAGCTCCGGTGACTGTACCCACCAAACCAGCCCTTTTCCACCCAGAACCCCCCCGGTTTGGGTGCCGTTAACGAGTGAGGGTCCCTCCCCCGCAGGCCCGGGACGGTGGCGTTACGGGAAATCCGGAGGTACCAGAAATCCACGGAGCTGCTGATCCGCAAACTGCCCTTCCAGCGCCTGGTCCGGGAGATCGCCCAGGACTTCAAAACCGACCTGCGCTTCCAGAGCGCCGCCATCGGCGCCCTGCAGGTGAGACCCCCCTCCCCCAAAAAACATCCCTGCTCTTGAGCTGAAATCCCCAATTCTGGGGGGTTATTGCCCAAAAAAACATCCCTGCATTTCGAGTTGAAATATTGCCCCAAAAAACCTCCCTTTTCTTGAGTTGAAATCCCCGGTTTTGGGGGGTTTATTGCCCCAAAAAACCTCCCTTTTCTTGAGTTGAAATCCCCGGTTTTGGGGGGTTTATTGCCCCAAAAAACCTCCCTTTTCTTGAGTTGAAATCCCCGGTTTTGGGGGGTTTATTGCCCCAAAAAACCTCCCTTTTCTTGAGTTGAAATCCCCGGTTTTGGGGGGTTTATTGCCCCAAAAAACCTCCCTTTTCTTGAGTTGAAATCCCCGGTTTTGGGGGGTTTATTGCCCCAAAAAACCTCCCTTTTCTTGAGTTGAAATCCCCGGTTTTGGGGGGTTTATTGCCCCAAAAAACCTCCCTTTTCTTGAGTTGAAATCCCCGGTTTTGGGGGGTTTATTGCCCCAAAAAACCTCCCTTTTCTTGAGTTGAAATCCCCGGTTTTGGGGGGTTTATTGCCCCAAAAAACCTCCCTTTTCTTGAGTTGAAATCCCCGGTTTTGGGGGGTTTATTGCCCCAAAAAACCTCCCTTTTCTTGAGTTGAAATCCCCGGTTTTGGGGGGTTTATTGCCCCAAAAAACCTCCCTTTTCTTGAGTTGAAATCCCCGGTTTTGGGGGGTTTATTGCCCCAAAAAACCTCCCTTTTCTTGAGTTGAAATCCCCATTTTTGGGGGGTTTATTGCACAAAAAAAAATCCCTTTATTTTGAGTTTCAATCCCCGTTTTTCGGGGGTTTATTTCCTCACAAAATATCCCTTTTCTTGAGTTTAAATCCACATTTTTGGGGGGTTTATTGCCCCACAAAACATCTCTTTTCTTGAGTTGAAATCCCTGTTTTGGGGGCATTTATTTCCCCACAAAACCTCCCTTTTTTTTGAGTTTAAATCCCCATTTTTGGGGGTTTTTGGGGTGGTTTATTTCCCCACAAAACCTCCCTTTTTTTTGAGTTTCAATCCCCATTTTTGGGGGGTTTATTTCCCCACAAAAACTGCCTTTTTTTTGTGTTTCAGTCCCCATTTTTGGGGTGGTTTATTTCCCCACAAAACCTCATTGTTTTTGAGTTCCAATCCCCATTTTGGGGTGGTTTTGGGGTGTTTATTTCCCTATCAAACCTCCCTATTTTTTAAGTTTAAATCCCCATTTTGGGTTTTTTTTGTGGGGGTTATTTCCCCACAAAACCTCCTTTTTTTTTTAAGTTTAAATCCCCATTTTCCAGTTTTTTTAGGTGGTTTATTTGCCCCCCAAACCTCCCTTATTTTTAAGTTTCAATTCCCATTTTGGGGGGTTTTTTGAGGGGGGTTTATTTCCCCATAAAACGTCCCTTTTTCTTGAGTTTCAATCCCCATTTTTGGAGGATTTATTTCCCCACTAAACCTCCCTTTTTTTTAAGTTTCAATCCCCATTTTCAGGGTTTTTTGGGGCGTTATTTCCCCACAGAACCTCTCTTTTTTTAAGTTTAAATCCCCATTTTGGGGGTGTTTTTTTAGGTGGTTTATTTACCCCAAAAACCTCCCTTATTTTTAAGTTTAAATCCCCATTTTGGGGGTGTTTTTTTAGGTGGTTTATTTACCCCAAAAACCTCCCTTATTTTTAAGTTTAAATCCCCATTTTGGGGGTGTTTTTTTAGGTGGTTTATTTACCCCAAAAACCTCCCTTATTTTTAAGTTTAAATCCCCATTTTGGGGGTGTTTTTTTAGGTGGTTTATTTACCCCAAAAACCTCCCTTATTTTTAAGTTTAAATCCCCATTTTGGGGGTGTTTTTTTAGGTGGTTTATTTACCCCAAAAACCTCCCTTATTTTTAAGTTTAAATCCCCATTTTGGGGGTGTTTTTTTAGGTGGTTTATTTACCCCAAAAACCTCCCTTATTTTTAAGTTTAAATCCCCATTTTGGGGGTGTTTTTTTAGGTGGTTTATTTACCCCAAAAACCTCCCTTATTTTTAAGTTTAAATCCCCATTTTTGGGGTGTTTTTTTTTTGGGGGGGGTGGGTTTTATTTCCCCTGCAGGAAGCCAGTGAAGCTTACCTGGTGGGTCTTTTTGAGGACACCAACCTCTGCGCCATCCACGCCAAGAGAGTCACCATCATGCCCAAGGACATCCAGCTGG